GGAATCATATGGCGCAAAATCTATGTTGGAACCAAGCAATAAGCCTTGTCGAGGACATGGTGAAAAATGGAGTCGCAAGTCTTGGTTCCATCATGTATTTCGCGTCGAAGTCTTGGTTCCATCATCTATTTCATAAACTTTCTACGCGCACTAAGTAATGGGCGTGCGGGTTTTTAATCACCAGGGTATGGAGATGATCAAAGTGTCCATTGAGTGGTATTGGTTCAGGTAGCGTCGACAAACCCGCATTAGATTGTTTCCATCATAGGCATGAATATTGGTTCCATCATGCTTTTCTCGACCACTTGGTTCCATCATACGATTAATCTATCCGATTGGTTCCATCTTAGCAATCGCCCGCAATTTTATCAGCGCTTCGTTCGCGCGCATGCGGTCAACTTAGCCACTGAGATCGTTGCGCGTCTCGGCAAATTCGCTGAGATGTGGGGCTGCCAAGCCTGTCATGCCATCATATGGCAGCGCTTCGATCGAGCGGCCGATCGTGTTCAGCCGTCGTGTTAACACGATCGGTTAAAGGCGTTGCCCTAGTCATAGAACGGGCCGAAGTTAGAAAGGTTAGTTATGACCATGGCCACCGGACCTACACTATGCCCCTTTCCAGAGAAAACTTCCGCCGGCCGGGAAAAACTCAATTGGACCATCTGCTTAATTTTCGTCACAATTGCCATTTGGAGGGTCTCAAAAAATCGCAAACTTAGAAGAATTATTTTCATATGGCAGCGTGCGTTACCACAGTGGCTCACATGGTCGTGTTTGAAGCTCCAATCACGAACATGGTGCTGGGATGCCGACAAATGGAATCAGGAGGCCCAAAAGTATTACGATCATACAGCACCGATGCTATTTGATACAGTTTCAGAATTGGGGGGTTACTTCATAAAGCTTGGTCAACGCTTTTCGATGTCAAGAGGAATAATATCAGAGACCTACGTAGATGCTCTGAAACCGCTCTGCGTGGACGTCCCGTCGCGACCGTTTGAAACAATGGCTGAGGTCTTCTTGAGTTCAACTGGAAAGTCGCTAGACGACTTGTTCGAGTTTGTCGACCATGACTCGCTCGGGTCGGCGAGCCTCGCGCAAGTACACCGAGCGGTAGTTTGCAAAGATCAAGGTGGGACTCGTGAAGTTGTTGTCAAGATAATGTACCCCGAAGTGGACAAAACATTTCTGTTGGACCTCGATAATGTTCTCCTTCTTTGCAAGTTTTTGGCGCCAGAAATTTACGAACATCTTAATAGAGAATATGAAACTCATATGAACGAACTTGATTTTAGAAGTGAGGCGCGGAGTCTAACCCGAATTACCCAGTCGATGATCCATGCAGGCTTTGCTCCGCATGAGGTGGTCATCCCACAGCCGCTCATGCCGTCGACGTGCACTACTAGAAAAACTTTAGTAATGGACTTTTTGCCGGGATTGAGCTTTCAGTCAATTATTGCACGCGATGTGGACGCTTTCGCGCGTGCCCTCGGCCTCAGAGACGCACAAGAGCTTCGCGAACAATTCAACGCAACTTCTGGAGCAAAGGAAATCGGGCGTTCGAGCATGGATAAGAGGGGCCAAGAGCTCGGTGATTGTGCCGCCCCGAAACACATCAACTGGAACGATATATCCCGAGCAAAACGTGTCAGCGAAATGTCGTCCCAGATCAAAAATTGGTCTGTCGCAGTTCACAATGGATTTATTCTTACTGCACGTGGGATTGGGGCACGTGCGTTCCTCTCTGAAAGCTTTTTGCAGATGCGACAGTACCAGAGATCGCAGGCAGAGGAGCTTCAGCGAATTTTGGATGTCGTCGTGCAGGTGCACGGGCATCAGATGCTTCTCGACGGATTCGTCAACATCGATCCTCATCCGGGGAACATTTTAATCGCACCGGATGGTCGGGTTGGCCTCATTGATTACGGACAGTGCGTTGAATTCTCTATCGAAGAGCGACGCGGCTTGTGCCGCGTGATCAGGGCGCTAGGTTCGGGAGATAAACTCGGCG